CAGAGAAGTGCTGACTGTGCGCAGGAAGGGACCCGAAGCCGCACTGGCGCAGGGGCGCCACAAGGGAGTGCTCCCGACGCCCTCCGGGAGCCCAGGAGGTCCTCCCGCCGCCTCTCCCGGCTCCCGGAGCGGTCCACCGCTCCTTCCCAGGCTTCCGCTGCAGCGCGCGCCCCAGCCGGGAGAGGGCGCCGCGCGGTGACGTGGGCGGGGTGAGGCGGGGGATTCAAGCTTCCAGCGTGTTATAAGGCGCGGAGCCTGAGAGCGATTCATTCCAGAGGTGCGCACCGCCTTCATGGCCGCCGCCGGAGCCCGCCTCCTGCTCTTCCGCGCCGGCCTGCTGGCCGCCGCCGTCGCCGCCGCCGCTGACCTCGGGTCCGGGGACGGCTGGGATGCCGGTGCGCCCCCAGGGAACCGCGACCGCCCGGAGCTGCCCGCCGATACCGCGGATCACCGCATGAGGCGTGCCACCACCCGCCTGCCGGTAAGACTCAGACCCCCGAGCCTCAGTTTCCCCACCCGGAGCCCGCCCCTCCCTGAGGTCCAGGACACACCTTGGGAGGAGGGCGCTAGCTCCCGGGACCTGCCTGACTTCCGGTGTCCTTTCTAATGTGGGTGTTCCAGGGTACAGAAGGGGTCTCGACGCCGCCCCTCTGCACAGCCGGCCTTGACCTTGGCTTTTGGGTAGTTTTCTTTGGCATTAAAGCAAAATTCTATTAGGCCAGTGGAATATGCCGTTTATTTGGGTTCAGAAGGTAGTTGGGAAATACGTGGAAATAACTTGATGTTCATGGGGTTGGAAAGAAACGTAAGCAAATTACTGACTCCCTCCTGCAATCTATTTGGTGAAATTCCCCGTGAAAACAGAACTACTTTTCGCAGGTCTGGGGGAAGGAGGTGTGAGGGCTGCAGAACCCCAGTGAGGGTGACTTCTGGATGTGCAGGAGTCCCCCTAGCTCTGCCCTGCTCCTTCCTTCCCAGCTGGGGCGAGGGGAATCAGAATGGGGAAGGTGGCTAGGAGGGTGTTGGGAGAGCCCTCAGTGTGGTGGGGCCTTTCAGACAGGAAGGTGGTCGAGTCCCTGCATTATCAAGATGCTCATGGGCCCTGCAAAGGAGAGAGTAGCAGTGGGGCCTCAGGCCTGAGCGTCTGCTCTCAGCATCACACTTGGACCACCAAGGCCAAGGACACCCCTACCTGTGGAGGCAGCCAGCCCTTCTGGCTCCCTGGGAGGGCCTCCCTGAAATCCAGTCTCTCCACCTCAGCTACTTCCCATGGATTGAAGGCAGACCCCTCCCAGACACTCAACCACACCCCTGAGGGGCAGGGCCACCAAACGTTGGGGCTACACTGCCAAGGAAGCAGATGGGAGCTGGGGTGCTTCCAGGCAGGGTGCTGGCCTTGGACCCTCTTTGGGGGTCAAGGCTGCACCAGAGACTCCCCAGCTCCTTTCTGAGAGTCCCTGAGGCTGGAGACCTTCGTCAGCCAAGGCAGCTGCTGGACACCCACTCACACCACAGGCCCATCTCCCAGGTCTCCAGACCAACATGGCTCCACCTGTTTCTGCTCTCCCCACACCAAACTGGACAGGACACGGGACCAGCTGTGAGGGCCAGCTCGGCATGCTCATGCAGCCCTCGTGGAATCCTGCCATGTGTTTCTACTGAGGGCAGTGTGAGGCTATAAGTGGCATCACAGATCCTTGTTTTCGGTGAGCAGCCAGCAGGTTGGCACCTCGCAGGGCCCACCACCCAGAGAGACATGGGAAAGCTGGAGAGAGAGACAAGGCCCTGGACCCTTGGAGGCTCCTCCCACAGAAGCCCCCACATCCTCACCATTGCACAGTGGTTGCTGAAGAAAGCCCAGGGCTGGGAGACCACCAGCTCTGTGGTCAGGTCCTCTGATGAAAGGACCTGACCAGCTCTAAAACCCTGGGTCCTTCCATTGGCCCTGGAGTCGGTGCCCATGACCTCATCTAAGTCCTCTGGGGCCAGTTTCTCTCCTAGCTGGCAGCCTTGCCTGGAGCCCAGATCATCTGAGGCCTGCTGCCCAGAGGGCTACAGACCTCTCCCTGGAAGGTACCTGCTGGCAACTTCCCTGTCTGTCATGATTGGTCAGAATGCAGTGTGCAGGGGAATGGTATTTCTGGACCGGTCACTGTCCTTGCTCGGGTCAAATGTCCTGGAAGTCCTGAGGAGGATGGGCAGTGTCACGCCCCATGCACAGGCCTTAAAATCCTGCCATCTCAGTGCTGGACCACCCAGACCCCCGGACTGAGGGCTGAAATTGGCTTCTGTGGAACTTCAGAAAATGCAGGTGGGATGGGAGGCCGGCTGATAGCTGGAGACCTGGGTAATCAGTAGCCTCTTCCGGAGCACCTGTGGGTGTCAGTGGTCTGAGCCTTCCGGTAGCTCTCCTATGGAGGGAGCTGGAAGAGGCCTGTGGTGCAGAGGAGCCGGATTGCCACCTGCTACAGAGCTCTGCACCTGTCTTCCTCTCCCACAACGCCCAGATCATGGTGTAGCCCATTCCCCATGGTCCTCCCCAAGGGCTATGCTTCAAGGGCACCACTGAAGGCCAGTCCTATACATGACCTCCTGAAGTGTCCTGTCTGGTCTGCTCGGTGGACACCCGCTGCGAGGGACAGGGGGTGGGAACCAACCTGATGCTTTCTAGGAGTCCACCACAGAGAGAACACCCAGCCAGGACCCCTGGGAGACCTGGAAAGCCTTCCTCAGGCACAATGTGGAGAAAGCTAAGGCCAGGAAGAACGGAGGCAAAGGCAGGAAGTTGGAGGTGAGCAAGGCCAGCCAGGATGTGTGTGCGAGGAGCCTCCAATTGTGGGCCCTCCATGAACCCCCAGCCCACCACACCCCTCGCCGCCCCCACTGGCACACCCAAGCAGACTCTCACCTTTGGCCTAGGGTCAGAGAGCACAGAAAGTGTCAAGCTGGAGGCTCAGGTGGCTCTGGGGCCTGTTCCTACCATTTACCCTGCCCCTCTGGAATGCCAGGCAGCCCCATCAGCTCTCCTCCCTCTACATCAGTGATTCCCAAAGTGGGCGCTACCGCCCCCCGGTGGGCACTGCAGCGACCCAGGGGGCGGTGATGGCCACAGGTGCATTTGGGGGCGATGAGTAACTGCTATTAAAATTTTAAAAAAATTAATTTCCAGGGGCTGAGTAATATTTTTTCTGGAAAGAGGGCGGTAGGCCAAATAAATTTGGGAACCACTGCTCTACATCCTGCTATAGGAGACCTGGGCTGGCCTGGGAGGGCAGCTTTCAAAGCATGGAACCTCATTGCCTTCTCAGCAGTCTGAGGCCCCAGTGGGAGCCCCTTTTGCCTGCCTGTTAGAGGCAGGAGCTTGCCGAGCAGGTGCCCATAGTTCCCAGCCTGTCCATTCAGATGTCTTCACTGCCAAGTTTCCCTTCCAGCCATGCCCCCGAACCTTTGTCCTCCTGAATGACTCAAGGCCCATCAACTCATCAGAACTGGTGAAGGAGTTCCGGCGGCTGCTAGAAGGTAGTAGATGCACACCATGTGGAGATATACCCCTGGGTGTGAGTGGGGCTGGGGAAGGTCTCCCACAGGAGCTAAGACAGGCTAGTCCTCAGCATCTGCAGCACCCAATAAGGCCCCTGCACTGTGCGAGGCTCAAGGTCAGGAGTTGGGGGTGCGAGTGTGGTAAGGACACTGCAGAGGAAGGCAGACTTAACCACTCGGTGCTCAGTAGATGCTTGGGGACCAGCACCCACACCCAACCTGGGAAGTCAGGTGAGTCCAGGAAAGGCCAGTTCTGAACCCATACCCCTCAAGTGAGGAGTGTCAGGGAGGGGGTCAGGGCTCTTTAAGCTTTCACAGTGCTCCTCTGATTCCCCCAGTGACACAAGGGAGATTTAAGGTTCACCCCAGTCAACACAGGCCCTGACTGCGAACCCCAACTTCTTCCCCTCGATCACCTCTGCCCCTTCCCCTGACAGATCTCAGCTGCCTGCTCAGAGAGAGACCCTTGGGAGGCTGCCTGGAGGGGCAGGGAGGACCAAGGGCAGCACAGGGTTAGCATCGCCAGGTCACCATCTGACCCAGGCTGGGCAGCTGAGATGGAAGGCATAAAGGGAGACAGCAGAGCTGAGCTGAGCTGTGGGACTGGGGAATGTCCCTGCACTGTGGTCACTGCTAATGGGTAGCTCACATTATTTACTAGATTAATTTTATTATGAAGAACCTAGTGACAGAGCCCTTCCCCCACTTTAATTCAGTGTAGTGGTCCATTAGATACAGTTTCAGAGGCTAAAGAACCTACATATTATTTCCAGTATAGTTGCAATGATTATTTATGTATACCCAGCTTCCTTCCAAAGTTGACCAGGGCTGGTTGATATGATTGCATTCGCTGATACAATAAAAGCATAAACAGAAAAAACACCACCACGAAGGGGGCAATGTGGGTAGGATAGGGAGGGGCCAGAGAACACGGGCACTGGGTGTGACTCTGCCCTAAACTTCCCGGTAGCCAAAGTGTGAAGGCAAACAGGAGCAGCAGCAGGGTCAGGAGGCAGTTTCTGCCTGCCAAGCAGGCCGAAACTCTGTGAGGGGTTTGAGGGGTGGGGGGCATGGAAAGGAGGGCGGGGTGGGCTCAGCCACCACCTGCTCTGCCAGAATTGGTGCCACTGCGAGAGCGCTTGGAGCCGGGCCTTGCCCCAGAGGATGCAGCAGGGGACAGGGACAGGGACAGGGTGCCCTCCCTGACAGAGGCCCTGGCCATGAGCCCACCACTGGTGGGGGACGCCTTCCACTGCCGCCTGCGCCAGAAATTGTCGGTGGAGCGGCGCACACTGCACGAACTTGGTGGCTACTACCTGGTGAGTCCTAGCCTGGAGGGGCCCAGGAGAGGGTGTGTGGTGGGCCCAGGTGACCATCTGCACTCCACAGCCCGAATCTGAGGGCGCCTTCTATCGCGGCCTGGGCCTGAATCTGACCAGCGGCCAGTACACAGCGCCAGTAGGGGGCTTCTATGCTCTTGCGGCCACGCTGCACGTGGGTAAGACCTAGCGCCAGAGTGTGTGTGGGACGGGGGAGTGCTGGGGGGGGGGGGGGGCCTCAACTCCGCCCACCGTGACTATTCCCTCCCTCCCTCCCCTAAGCCCTCCCTCAGCAGAGGAAGCCAGAGCAGCAGCGGCCTCGGGACCGCCTGCGCCTGCTCATCTGCATCGAGTCCCAGTGCCAGAACCACACGTGAGTGGGTGCGTGGGTGGGGGCGGGGAGTGCAGTCTGGGGCACTGGACCTGGACCCTTTCCTCCATCCTCACTGCCACCCTAACCTGGGTGACCCCCACGCTCCCATCCCAGCAGCAGGAGCTAACTGGGCTTCCTGGGCACACCCCCACCACCTCAGCCATTTCCAGACCACTCTGTGCGACCCTTCCCCATTAATTCTCCCACCAGCTCCTGTAAACTTCCTTCACTGCACATGACCATGCCCACCTTCCAACTGCACCTGGTCACCGATGGCAGGGGTTCCTCCCTCTGTCCCCCCACCCAGAACAGATCCAGACCCAGGCAGATGCTGGCAATAGCTGTTGCAGAAAGGAATAAGTGAAGTTCAAAACTTCTGATTCTGGTTTTGAAAGCCCTCCACACTGGCCTGACAGGGCTTTCTGCGCCCCCTCCCACCTAAGCTGCAGCAGCCAGTGCAGTGGGGTTCCTCAGAGCTGCCTCCAGCTTCGGCCAGGCTTGCCTTTCCCGAACCTGCAGCACAGCTGGCCCTGGGGAGACTGGCCTCCTTTGGGAGCCCAGTTCAGACAGTGCCTCCACCAGGAGACCCGAGACAGCTGTCCCCTTGGCATTTTGCTGGGTCTTGTCAGTTGTGAGGGACTCGGGTGGGGTCTGGGGTGGAGGCTCTGTGACCCTCTTTCTGCTTTGGCTGCAGCTCCCTGGAGGCTGTCATAGGTCTGCAGAGCAGCGGTGAGCTCTTCACCATCTCCGTGAACGGTGTTCTGTATCTGCAGGTGCAGGGGCAGGCTTGGGCATGGGGGGTACCACCTGATTGTGGCCATGGGTGACCTGGCAGGGAGGGGTGCTGGTGGGCACTAAGGGGCTCTGGGTGCAGCACCCCAACTCCAGGCCTGGGAGAGGCATTGAGACCTCCCAAGTCCCACACTGAGGGCTGGTGCTCCTAGTGGTAGAACAGGGGTCAGCTCCAGGGCCCAGACTGAACTCCCTCATGACACCTGAGCCCACTGCCACTGCAGGAAGCAGCACATGTAGTTATTTCCTACACAAATCTCTTTCTAGCACTGGGGATTTGGGCAAGTACTCAAGGAATTGATGCAAAGGTGAGATTCACTAAAAAAGAAAAACTGTCAGTGTGGATGTGTGAACAGCAGCTCACATTTAAATAGCACTATGCAGGCCCCCTTCTAAGTGACCCATTTCATTGTCACAGCGCTCTGAGGTGGGTACTACCATTATTCCCATTTACAAACAGGGGAACAAAGCACAGAACGGTTAAATAACTTGCCCAAGCTCACACAGCAGTCAGGAGTGGAGGCCCAACTGCTGAAAGGCATTTAGTGGTCTGGTCTGGTCCCAGGCACCAAACACGTGGGGGGAGTCAAATGGCTCACGGTGCACCTGGAGTCCAAAAATATGGGAAGGGTGGGTCCCCAGAGTCTGCAGTTTTGGGAGTTCCCAGGGGATGGGATCCTGCTGGTGTGTGGACCACATCTGGAGCAGCCATGCCAGAATACTGATCAGTCCCATGGTAGCCCTGCCCCGAAGGTCAGAGACCAGGCCTGTGGGACGGGGCCACCCTCACACCCCAGGTTAGAGCCTTACAGGCTCCATATGCAGCACAGAAGCATGTTGGACTCTTGACCCCCTGCTGGCCCTGAGCAGAGGTTCGCTCTCACAAATGTGAACTGCAGGAGCCCATAAGCGCAGGGGCCAATGGAGCTGGAGAGAAAGCACTAGAACGGGGCAGAGGTGCTGTTTTGAGGGTGTGTGCCAGTGCCCAGGCTGACACTGCCCTTCTCACAGATAGGGCAGTATACCTCCGTCTTCCTGGACAACGCTAGCGGCTCCCTCGTCACTGTGCAAGACGGCTCCCAGTTCAGCGCTCTCCTCCTTGGCATCTGAGCAGTATCGAGCTGGGTCCCGACAATCTCTGGGCAGTGTTGGAGTGACAGAGGCCACATACAGGAGAAAGCCCATTCAACTGCACACAGTGGCCCCTGCAGTTCAGCCCAGAGATGGCCACTCCAGGCAGCCTGGGGAGGTGACAAGCAAACCTGCTGTCCCAGAACCAGAAAGGACTTTAAGATCCCACTTCAGAGTTCAGCGCACCCAGGCCTGGGCCCCCCGCTGCTGGCCTATTGGCTTGTCTAAAATCTCAGTTCCACCGGCCTGCATGGCTCAGTGGTTGGGTATTGACCTATGAACCAGGAGGTCACGGTTTCATTCCTGGTCTGGGCACATGCCCAGGTGCGGGCTCGATTCCCAGTGTGGGGCATGCAGGATCCAGCCAATCAATTATTCTTTCTCATCACTGATATTTCTTTCTCTCTCTTACTCTCTGAAATCAATAAAAATATATTTAAAAAATAAATAAAACCTCAGCTTCTTCACTGTGGCCAAGTCCCGCCCTTTCCATCTTTAAGTGTTGAGAGTGCTGGCACAGAGGAACGGCTGGTCTGCCTGCTGGGGTGCCCTGTGTAGAGGGTCAAGGCAGCCTGTGCAGGGCTGCAGGGCCTCCTAGGGTAAGTGAGCTGCATGGAGGGCCAGCTTTAGCAGCAGCCTTCTCACTGTGCCCATCTCCACCTGGGGCTCCCTCCCAACCACGCCTTTGGCGTGTACTGATCACAGGATCCAAGACTCTCTTTGTGGCCCCTTGTACAGGAGCCTTGGACATCAGACAGACACTGGACAGGGCTTATGGGGTGGGAGGCAGAGAGCCTGGGCCCAGCTTCCAGGAGCTCCTTTCACTTCTAACATGTACAAGCTAACTGGCACGCTCAACTTGCAGACAGATGATTTATCAAAGAGGAGCGGTAAACCTTTTCATAGACAAAGTCCTTTCCCATCCCCTCTGAGGCTGACTCACTGCTAGGACCCACCAGCCATATGGAAGAGCTAGAACATCCCTGAAGGCCCTGCTCACCCACCTGACCAGGCTAAAAAGAGGCTTCCCAGAAGCTAGCAGCCCCTGGTCCCCACCCCAGCCTAGCGGGGTCCATGGGTTTTGGGGCTCTTCAAGCATCCACTCTAGTTAAGATGGAAATAGGCTCCAAGCTCAGATAGGTAGAGATGGAGACCATACTGAGAAAGAACTGGTCTTGAGAGGGCTGGGTACCACCAAGTCCCCTGTGCTGCTGCAGCAGTGATAGCACCTACATAGTTGTCAGCCTACAGCACATTCCATCTAAGGCAGTGGTTCTCAACCTTCCAAATGCCGCGACCCTTTAATACAGTTCCTCATGTTGTGGTGACCCCCAACCATAAAATTATTTTCGCTGCTACTTCATCACTGTAATTTTGCTACCGCTATGAATCATAATGTAAATATCTGATATGCAGGATGTATTTTCATTGTTACAAATTGAACATTAAAGCATAGCAATTAATCACAAAAACAATATGTAGTTATATATGTTTTCCGATGGTCTTAGGCAACCCCTGTGAAAGGGTGGTTCGACTCCAAAGGGGTCACGACCCCCAGGTTGAGAACCGCTGATCTAAGGAGCAAGAATGTCCCAGAGCAGGTGATCCTTCTGAAGTTACCCAACCCCCATTCATACACACAATGGGCTCACATGAAATTTGCTACCACAGGATATGGCTGTTGTCACTTAACCTCTTAGCTAGCCTTAGGATGACTTCCCCAGGAGCCTAAAGCTGCTACTACACAGAAGTAAACATCTCACTCCCAGCTGGCTCCCAACATGAAACCCGTACCCCTTGCCAGGCCTGGCACAGGCACGATTCTCAGTAGGACCTGCACCCGCCCTACTAGGAAGTGCCAGCTGGCCTGGTGTCCTGTGTCCCCACACTCTCTGATAAGGGCTGGTGTAGCCACAGATATTTTAGGAAAGTTATCTTTTACCCTTGAAAAAGCCACAGATCTCTTTCATTTTCTCCACATAAGTAGTATAGCCATTTATTAGAGTATTTATTTAGTATTGCCAGATGAAATATATTTATATAACTGACTTTATGAATTGATCAAGTACCTAAGAATTGTTACGTGATTATACAAAGTTACAAAAATAAAGTATAGACCTTAAAATATAAAATCTTAATCATTTTAGACCAGGTCCACTGAGGATGGGGAGGAATGACCTCTTTGAGGTGAGGTGGGGGATGACCCCTAGCTGGGGAGGAGGCTTGGACTCTATGAAGGTGGGGGAAGGGACTTGCCAGCGAAGCCACAGTGGCCAGCCTCTTCCAGCTCTGAGACAGTGGCATGCTGGGAATTAGGGGCATGTGAGTCACATGTTGAAACCTAGTTTGCTATAGGAGGATATTTATCGAGCAACTTATTTCCCAATTTGAGATGTTGAGGCTCTTTCCTTCAATGATGCCAGTTCCTCAGCAGCAATGGAGCCTGGCATGTAATTCTCTGGGGAAGGGTGTGCTCAAAACGTTCCCCTGAGGTACTTGTAGCAGGACACCAATCCCACCAACTGACTGGGTGATAAGACCATGTGTGTATGCTGGGCGGGGGCCAGAGAACATTACAAAACAGCTTTCTGAATGGCAAGTTTTTAAAAATCTTACATCATCCTGAGGCAAGTGTTTCCCCAAAAGACCTTAGAGCTGCTTTCCTAAAAAGTAATTACAGCAATACCGATGACTTGTTTTATACAGAAATAAGAGCTTGAAAAGTATTTTCTAATCTTCCCGGTAGGCTGATCATGCATGCATTTTCCCCTGTGGACATCTTTAACAGAAGGGTACCACTGTAAGGTGTTATTGGAAGGTGGACTCAGCCCAGCAGAGCTCACTGAATGCACATTCTTACAATGCAGTTGGCTCTCAGAGGCCACACTCCACAGTAGCTTGACTGCTCCATCCGGGAAGTACATTCCACGCCCAGGGGATCCCGATGGAAGACCTGGTAAAGAGCCAGTCTTCCAGAGCCCTTCAGCCAGACTGTGCCTATTCTCACAGGAATTAGAAACAAGCTGAACCACCGTGCTGCTTTGGAGAGCTCGTCAGGGGCACACCACTCTAGAGTAGATAACTTTGTGTACCAGTCTACTGTCCTGGCTAAGCCTGGATCGAGCTATAAAATGTTCTGTAACCTTATTTTTGTATGGAAATTTGAAAGAAGCTGGAGTGCTCCATTAGCCCTGGGGTTGGGACCCACCTGTCGTAACAAGACGACCAGAGTATATTCAAAAGCAAACACAATTAGCTTCTGAAGGGTCACGAGTTTCTCAAAATGTAATGAGATAAGATTAGAAAAAAGAGAAACTTTTATTTACAACCATGGGAATCCCACAGGAGTACACGAAACACACATAATGTGTACACACACACATGAACCTCTGAAGCCAGTGGCACGCCACGCCCTCAGTGCCCTATCCGCACCAACATCACCGTGACGTTATCCGCCGAACCCCGCTGCACTGCCTTGTTGGCCAGCCTATTGCAGGCTGCTTCGTAGCGGGTATCCACAGCAGGCTTCCCTTCCCGGCTCTGGATCTTCTCATCCTGCCGGGCAGGAAAGGGTGCTGGTGAATAGGGGAATCCTGCCCCCCACCACTCTCCTGAGACAGCATCACCAGAAGGAAGAATTGCTCAGTCTCCATCAGGGCAGGCAGGACAAACTGACCAGTCTCCCGGACATTGAAAATGCACACAAGGATACCCCCCAACAATGGGGACGTAGGGGAGGACTGGGGTGTCAGTAAGATGCAGCTGGACAACTGGCACTCACTCCCTTGTGCAATTTCTTACCTCGAGGCAGGACAAGATGAAGTTCACAGCTTCTTCTGGGGTAAAGACCTTGAAGAGGCCGTCGCAGGCCAGCAAAATGAACCTACAATACAGGGAAGAAATATAAATGGGTTTTAACAGCAAACTCTATAAAATCGCCAGTAACAGAGGAAAAAGAAACAAACACTTGTCCAACTACGAAAAAGCTAAGACTTTTAAAAAAGTAATTTGACTTCTATGAGACAAAGATTAAAACTACTTAAAAATAATTGTAGGTGGGTCTAATACATCAAAACTGGAACATGCCTTCTGTTCACCAATATTGAAAGTATGAATTCAAACATTAGGTAGGTATTGCACTTTCTTATATAAACGCAAAAGGTACATCACTGAATAAAAACATCAGGTATTATGGTAAATATACACAGAACTTCTTTCGCCACCTGCCTTGAGCCATTTCCCAAAGACATAAAGCTAGACCTAAATGGAACATCCTAGAAGCCATGCTGAGTCCAAGGCCCCAGGAGAACCACCACCCACCTTCACTGTCTGAAAACAGGATTATTTCCCTACCAAAACCCCCATCCTCTGGGCTCCCAAGGAAAGTCATTCTGAACAATGGATAGAAAGATTTTAGTTCTCCAAGCACCAAGGAATGTTCCCCATGGCTTTAACCACCTCTCTTTTCTCACTGCCATACCCAGGTCTTAGTTCTCCTCTTCTGACTGGGCATTCATTCAACAAGCATTTACCAGGACCTAGTCTGTGCCTGGGACAGTGTGGGGCACAAGTCCCAGAAGACTCCTTCCCCTTCCAGTGAGGTGACCACCATCCAGAATGGAGGGGACTGGCATATCACACAGCAGGGGCCTGGTCTGGGGGCAGGCAGACAAGACTTTCCTGGGGCATCACTCAGAAAAACAGAGGAGGGGCTAGTGGAAACACGTTCCAAGACCCTAGGGTCAGCAAGAGCATGGCGTGCTGAAGGCAGGCATGGAGAACAGGGAGGCTGAGCAGGGAGAACCAAAGTAGGGCTCCTTACCCGCAGCACTGAGACCAAGGCTCAGAGCTATGCTCCACAAGAGCTCCTACCCCCAAGACTGCAGCTTGATCAAGGAGCCTTTCTCACCTCCCTCATCACTCAGTCTTGTGAGCCACTTGTTGTGAGCCACCTATTCTCCTTTGCACCACTGCCTCAGTTCAGCCCCCGTTTAAGCCAGGGCCACCACCATATCCTAATGAGCCCCTGGGCTCCATCCTGCTCCAACCCCCAACATTTAGGACTTCCTGCCACCAGGCAGCCAGGCAGTGTGGTGCCTCATCTTCAGGCAGCTTAGAATGGCGATGGACAACTGAACAGACCGTCTTTCTCAACCTAGCTTTGTCTGCCTAAAAATCGCCCATGACCCTCCATCATGAGAAGCTAAAATTCAAACTCCTCAGCATGGAACTCAGTCAGTGGCCATCATCTCTCACCAACATCCCCTGCCACCATTCGCCTGTCAATCTGTCACTGACAGCAGCCTGGCGCCCTTTCACGCCATCCCATTTTAATGCCTTTGTTGTGTGTTTCCTCTACTAGAAAAACCCTCTTGTTCCTCCAACAGGGACACCCCCCACCCCCAATGGCCAGGCTCCCAGAGCAGCCCATACTCCTAGGACACGAGTGCCCCCTACCAGACTGTGTGGCCCACTAGAGCAGAACCGTAGAACTGTATTTTATTTCTCTGCACTTCTAGGGCCTAACACAGTGCCCAAGACACGGCTCCTTACAAGCCAAGAGTTGGGGATAGATAGACCATATATGTGCATGCCCATGCCTCTAGCGGGCATTTTTACCTGTCATTGGGGGTCAGCTGGCAACGTCTGATGTCTGGCACAGAAGTGACCCCGCAGCGCTTGTACTGCCCATCCCCAATGGATCGGGACACCTCCAGCACACCTAAGACACGCCCGTCCCTAAAACAAAGGGAAAACAATTCAGACTCCATCGGCCAGATAATAAGGCCACAGTACTTACAATCTGATCTTAAAATCAGAAAAACAGGACAGAATGAAAGATGTAGCCTGCAGAATTCACATTAAACAGCATCATGCCCTAGCCGGTTTGGCTCAGTGGATAGAGCGTCAGCCTGCGACTGAAAGGTCCCAGGTTCTTTTCTGGTCAAGGGCACATGCCCAGGTTGTGGGCTCGATCCCCAGTGGGGGCTGTGCAGGAGACAGCCGATCATGATTTTCTCTCATCATTGATGTTTCTATCTCTTTCTCCCTTTCTCTCTGAAATCAATAAAAATATGAAACAAATAAAAAAATTTCATAACTTTTACAATATCCTGTTATACATAATTATTAATAATGAACTACAATGTTCTAATGACTGATTACTATAATCGTGTTGCATTCATTTCCCTGACGCACAGGTGCACCATTTCTCTCACTAATACTAGCAGCGAATATTTTAGCAGCCAATTGCCTCGTCCTTAGTCTTGGACTAACTTGTTTGGTGTGCGCAATAGGAAATATTTCGCTTTCAGAGAATAAGAAAAATAGGTTTATTTGTGTTACACTTATTAATTTGTGCAGTTATTCATTGTCTGGTAAGTCAGTGTTCAAGGAAAAATATTAATTTATATTAAAATGTTCCATTATTTTATGTTAATGATTACTCATTTATTTCAGCCCTTTGTATTCAGCATGTCTCTATCGAAATAAACCTACGTTTCTATGAAAATTGAAGCTTTTGTTTTTTTGCGGCTCACATAAACTTAAACCTTGTTTATTTGGCCCGTGTTAGCCTTTGAGTTTGACATGCTTACTCTAGGTCCGTGGTCGGCAAACTGCGGCTCGCGAGTTACATGCGGCTCTTTGGCCCCTGAGTGTGGCTCTTCCACAAAATACCAAGTGCGGGCGCGCCGTACAGTGCGATTGAAACTTCGTGGCCCATGCGCAGAAGTCGGTTTTCAGCCTGGGCGAGTCTATTTTGAAGAAGTACTGTTGATATTTGACTCTGTTGACTAATGAGTTTGCTGACCACTGCTCTAGGTCATTAATATTCCTGCGGCGCTTGGTGCCTCAGCCAGGCTGCACATTAGAGGGAACAGTGCCCCCTCTGGCTGCACTTATGTGGTCGCAGTGGCCAGTTGATTTGCCCAAAGCTGAGAGTGGACTTAACTGGACTGAATAGGGGCTTGGCTTTGTTTTTCTGTTTATCTTAAAGCTCCTTAGGTGATTAAGAAAAGGGTTAAGAAAAGGTGGAACAGAGGACTATTTTGCATTTCAATCTAATTAGGTTTGGAAAATACTCAAAGTGACCATTCCCAGACTCCACAACACCTTTTGTTTCCACTGGGTATGGGTATGATTAACTTACATACAATTGGTAACACTCTGCATAGCATTACACTTTTACCCGTCCTATTTTTAGGTAAAGCATACAAAGATGGTGACCCATAAGTGGGACCATGCTGAAATACAGGGGAACAACAGTCCTTGACTCAAGGCCCCAAGAACAATTCTGGTGGTGCTACCACTGTGTGACCTCAGGCAGCTGCCACTGGGGACCCTCAGACTCTCATGTCTACAGCCAAAGGAGAAACCACACTGGAGAAGATGCAGGAGAGCTTTTGGCAAACACCAAAGCTGGGCCTGGAGATGCTGTGTGAATGGAGGCACATGGCAGAACGTTCTCGCCTGGGCCTGGGCCACTGTCTCAGAGTCAGAATTCAGCCTGGTCCTGGCCCTACACTGTGCCCAGTCACCCTCCCCGCGGGAACAGTTGAGGGATCAGCAACAGACTTAACCAGGCACCTGAAAGAAGTTAAGCAGTACTCCCCATACAATTACTACAGCAAACAGCAGGGGGCGAGGTACACAGGAGCAGAAGTGAAGATGGACAGGGTAGGGTTGGGGGAGTCCCTCAGCCCTAAGAGGGCCATTAAGGAAGCCGCTCAAAGCATAAGAATCCAACCAAGTGCTTCTTCAGTGACCAAGTGGCCAGGTGCCCGGTATGGACACCCCTCCACCACATCATGAATGCAGCTCGTTTCAAGGAGACCGAGTGTCATGACCTGGGCACAGGGCTGGACCACCACCTTCATGCTCAGACAAGTTCAACAGGACTACATGCTTCTTCACTACCCGCAGAGTTCCCCCAGACCACCGTGCTGAGGAGTGAGGGGCTCTTAAGTCTCAACCCATGAATCCTGGGTACCACCTTCTCTGACGCATTCCCCACTTTTGCTCAGAATTGTGTTAGTTCCCATCCCTTTCCCACCAGCCCATCAATCATAGCTTCATGCTTCCTCAGCCAGACAACTATTTTCCTGCTAGTTACACAGACAGAAGCCCTGATCTCTGTGATCTTTGCTGGTACTTTCTGTTCCAGTTTCTCCTTCACAATGAGAGAGAGGCACTGAGACGGTTGCCCTGGCGGCCAGGATAAGCTGCACACTGCTCTAACGTCAGCTCCTCTAGCACATCAGCAAAAGCAGGACACAGTCGGTCTCGATGCTTTTGCATCCTCTTCTGACTCAGATGCCCAAGTCCTGTGTCTTACTATGATGGATGCTAACGAAGTAACTGAAGGTGGATTCCAGAATAGCGCCTTTTTGATATCAGAGACCTGAATGTGACCTGGTCCCAGACACATGCATTGCATACTTGTTTATTTAATATATTTTTATTGATTTTCTTTTACAAAAAGGAAGGGAGAGGGATAGAGAGTTAGGATAGTTAGGAACATCAATGAGAGAAACACCGATCAGCTGCCTCCTGCACACCCGCTACAGGGGATCAAGCCCACAACCAAGATACATACCCTGGACTGGAATCAAACCAGGGACCATTCAGTCCGAGGGCGGATGCTCACCACTGAGTCAAACCAGTTAGGGCTGTACTGCATATTTACATCTAAATGCTACACATGCAAGCTTGCCTCATCTGTCCTGTCCAGTTGCCTTCCTCGTAAAATAAAAATAAAACTGTTGCCGAACTGGTTTGGCTCAGTGGATAGAGCGTCGGCCTGCGGACTGAGGGGTCCCGGGTTCGATTCCGGTCAAGGGCATGTACCTTGGTTGCGGGCACATCCCCAGTGGGGGGCGTGCAGGAGGCAACTGATCGATCTCTCTCATCGATGTTTCTAACTCTCTATCCCTCTCCCTTCTTCTCTGTAAAAAAATCAATAAAATATATATTTTTTTAAAAAATTAAAAAAATAAAACTGCACCTTCTCAGAGAAGTCCACTGAGATAGTATGACACACTGCTGCACACAGTATGCTACCTTTGGTGGAAGAAAGTAGGAAAAATAAGAATCTGTACACAGATTTGCTTCTTTCTGTAAGAAGAAACATTGGAGAGAATCCAGAACTATGAGTAAGGGGGACAGGCACGGAATCTATAAATAAGCCTTTTTATTTAACCATGTAAATGTGGGTTATTTTTTAAATTATAGTAAAAATATACACAAGATAAGATTTGCCTTTAACTATTTTTAATGTACAGTTGAGTGGCATTAACTGAGTTCACACTATTGTGCAGCCATCACCACTGTCAGCTCCAGAACTCTCTTAATCTTCCCAAACTGAACCTCTGTTAAACATTCACACCACACCCTCTTCCCTTAGAGACCCCATTTCACTTCCTGTCTCTATGAATCTGGCCATTCTATGCACCTCATCTTCATGGGATCATACAGTGTTTGTCCTTCAGTGACTGGCTCATTTCACTCAGCATTTCACTCAAGGTTGATCCATGCTACAGCCAATGAGATGATTTCCTTCTTTTATAAGGCTGAATAGTATCCACTATATGGATGAACCACATCTGTTTATCGCTTCATCTACTGATGGAAACTAGGATTGCTTCCACTGTTTGGCTGTTGTCAATAATCCTATATAATAAAAGCCCAGCGACCGAATGGCACAACAACTGGAACGACCGTAGCCCCTCACCCTGGCTGGCCCTGCCCCTGATCGGCCCCCATCGGGGCGGGCTGACTGGACCCCACCAGTGCATGCATTCATGCACTGGGCCTCTAGTATTACTATAAACATGTATGTGCACACCCGTCCAAATCCTTGCTTGCAATTATTTTGTGGAATTGCTGGATCACATGGTAATTCTATTTTTAATATTAGAGGAACCTCCATACCGTTTTCCACCACAATTGCACCATTTTACATCCCCAACAACAGTGCACAAGGTTCCGATTTCACTATGTAAATGGCTTATAATATAGGGGGAAAAGCCCTAAAATCTAAGACAAATTGAAACTAATGATAATGACCAAGGTGGTAACACAAGCACAGTGAAAGCAATTATTCTAGGTTTACAAACATGTCCTTCATGAGAAATAGTTCAAGGACAAGAGAACTACACTATAAGGAACTCAAACTTTGTAATAGTGATAATGCAAATAAATGTACTGTTATTAGGAACCAAGATTTTCAGCAAAAAGGACAGATCTATGACTACTGACTCACAAGAGAAAGCCCTGTACTGTTAAGTTTGAATAACAAATAGCAGCCTACGATCACCATCTAAAGAGTGCTGAACAGACTTAGAATTAGTGACATCCCAGGTGAAACAAGAGTCCCCAGCACACAGAGCTGGGTTTTAAAGATGAATGGAAGAGTCAGCTCAAAGGCACTCCCTTTCACTGGCTACATTGGGGGTAAAGTGAGCAGGAAATGCACCAGGACCCTATGACTAGCATCAGCACTGAAATCACACCCCCTGACAAATGGTGGTTCACAGAGCAAGGAGCGAGGAGAAAGGGAGAGAAGCGGAGTGAAAAGAAAAACCACTAGGCCCCTGGGTAGCTCAGTTGGTTACAGCACTGTTCTGATAGGCCAAGGTTGCAGTTTCAACCCCATCAGGGCACATACAAAAATCAATCAATGAATAAGTTAAATTAAGTTAACAAATCAATCTTTCTCTCTCTTTCCCACCCCCTCCCCTCTGTCTCTAAACATCAATCAATAAAAAAAAAAAAAGGGGGAAACCCCACTAATTTCCATAAGTGCAGGGGGCCATCTTACTTTGCAAATTGATAATGAAAGAATTGAACATCGACCCTGCTTTCTGGGAAGCAAGTATGGTTCATTCATACCCCACTGATGAAGGAAAGCCTCTCCTTGTAGGATGCCTGTTAATACCTGTGGCAGGAATTCCAGAAGCAGGAAATCATCTTTGTCATCCCTATGAAATAGATTCAGACAAGAATCACTAAGGGACCTACCACCATGAGATGAAAGATGGATGCAAAACAGAATGTTCCCAAGGTGCTAAAGCACATCTCTCCAGATCACCTGCTGATCACACAGGAAAACCTGTCCCTTTCCCTGTGGGGACTCATTACCAACAAAGTCCAGTGCTGGGAACTCAGCAACAGTGACCTGACATGGCCACTAAAGTGAGGGATCATCAAATATAGGCCACCCCCCAATAAATATTTTTCTAAAAATGTTTAATCTGAATCTAAAGAAGACTTTAGAGCTAATTTCTAGTTTATAGGAAAAACATGCAAACAACTTAAATGATACCATGAAAACACAGGCAAACTCAGAACGTGACCCTGTACAACCACTGGCCTAGACAACTGCATGATCCAAGCTGAGGAAGAGTGGAGACCATTCTACACTGAATGATGTGAATCCAAGGTGAGCATGAGCGCTGGCTGGACCCTGCTTTCAAACCAAGACACTTTGGGGACAACTTGGAGAAATATGAATACAGAAAGAATTACAGATAACCTAAAGAATTATTTTCTTAAGTGTTATCTGCAACTAACTTCCAGATAGTTCTGCCTAGCATACACATACACGAAGCAAATATGGCAAAATGTTAATTACTAAATCTAGGTGGTAGATATTGAAATGCTTACTCTAATTTTATAAAATGTTTGATAATTTTAATGAAGTGGGAAGGGTAGAGGGAAATAAATGCCCACCAGTCCTGGACTCGGCAGATGGGGTCACAGCCTGGCCCTGCTGCTGAGGAGCAAGGTCCCTGCCACCTGAGCCTCCTTGCCCTCTTCTCTGAAGTGCAGGGTTCACCTTGAGCACACTGTCAAATGAGCTCCCTAAGGTGGGTACTGGGAAAAAGGAAGAACCTGCAACAGAGCTGATCATTCACCCATAGGACTATCAATGTCAAAAGCCTTTCCAAGGAGTTCAGGCAAAGCAGAATTTTAAAGTTATAAGAAAGGGCAGAAAAGATGATGTTGACATTAACACTGGGATCACATTCTCGAGCATTAACTTCTGCAGCAGCCACAATGGGAAAATGGGGCACGTGCCACTGCCCAAGGTCTAGAACCATGCCCACAGTCCCATCAGTGCTAAGATGACCACACTATGACCAAGGTTATCTCTTACTACCATTCCAGCAATTTTGAACAAACTCAAAGAGTGCTGCCTCCTCTCCAGACCTCTATGCACTGCTGGCTAGAATCAGCCTGGAGTAAAACTTGTCTAAGGACAAGTGATTGCAGCCTTATATTGCTGATACTTCTCTCTCATCTCCAACGAAAATGTAAGACTAATGGTCAAACTGTAAAATGAACCAGAAAACACTTCTGGTCAAATCCATAACGCCATGTCCCAGGAGTGAATCCTCGTTAAGTGTATTAAGACTGAAGCCTTGGAGAGATGAATGGAGGTGCTGTGGGCAGAACCAGGGCAGAAGGCCCCTGGCCAGGGGAGCTGCTCCCCAGGAAACCCAGAGACCGTCAACCTGACACATACTTCCTGTCTAAATACTTTAGATGTTCTCTCTGAGCAATGCCCCTAAACTGTAACTTATTCAGTTGTGACAAATGATAGTATTTATAGAAGTTCCTAGGACCAGAGAACTGTTGCAAATGGTGACCTTGAATTTGAGGCAGGTTTCCTCCCTTTCCAAATTTAGGAAGGCATGTTTCTTGTACACATTTTGCTCCCACTTGGACATAGTGAAATCCTACAACCTTCATTCACCTACTTCACAGGTCAGACCTCAGTCCCATCACACTAAAGACTGCATGACAAGGGAAGTTCTCCCCTCGGAGGACTCATGGCCATTCCTCCCTCCCTCCCTCCCTGGAGTTCCCACAGTCCCTGGTTACCTGACGTTCCCTCCAGCCTTCTGTATTCTCATTCGTTCTTCATACTGTGTTGGGTTATGCTCCTTGCTGAGGCTTAAGGCTGCATGTTTTTGACTCTCCTCATTATAACGACACAGGATTGCCTGGGAAGATGGAGATTACAACAGCAGTAAAATTCAGGAGCCCAGTGCCCAGAGTTACCAGTTGAAGACAAAGGTCAACCATGGAGTTTCAGAGTCAGCCTCCTGCCGACACACACGAGTTCAAAGAAGAGCCCGAGTGGCAAAGTGGTGTCACAGTAACACTAGCCAGGTGACTAGAGTGGGCACTCATCCTCTCTAAGATGTTGTCCTCTCATGGGTGACGTGGAAAGGAGGCAGTTAATGAGCACCAAAGCCCCCTTTGGGCCCAGTTACTAGTTCCCACGTCTACACGAGGCAAAGATGAGGGCATGCTGACCAAGTGCGTCTCCATGTGCTCCTGGCACCACATTTACCATGTAGTAACTTCTGGATAAACCTGGATTTTACAGAGGAGGGAGCTGAGGCCTGGAGGATAGGTATCATGTCCAACGTCACACACAGGATTCAAATTTGACTCCAAAGTCCCCCCTCTCCCTGTGTCTTGGTCCAATTTTACTCATGCTATTTTAAGTCACTTGGTCAAAACACTTACGTACCGGAGATAGCTTACTAAGAGGACCTCCAGAATATAAACTCCACTAGGCAGGGACCGTCATCTGTAATGTTCACGGCAGCATCCCTACTGTTTATTTCTTCAGGAAATAAATCACCCTAAAAGCTACAGGGGCTGGGGGCCGCTGTCTTCAGTTCTGCAGATGGTGCTCATGGGTGGGAAGAGTCACTCTGTCAGTGTGACTCCAAAGGATCACGAGACGGAGGCTGGCTGAAAAAGCTCCTGGCTGAAGGCGGGGGGCTGAACCCACCTTGCAGAAGGCCAGCCTCTAGCTTTGTTTCCCACCACAGGCTGCCAGCAGTGGGAAATGACTGGCTTTTCTCCCTTAGCCTTGTGAACTGGGCTCCTTGCATGAATGGCGCATCACCCAGCACTTTCCTAGCTGCAGCTGAGTTATTCTAACATAACAATGATTTTGAGAGGCAAGGGCCTGTGGTCAGAGATATGAGGTTAAATAATATTTGTAACTGCACACCAATTAAATTCCAACCTATAGCATTACCCTGACAGAGTACACACACAAAAGGAAACATAGAAAACAAAAAGAATGTATTTGGGTTTTAAAGCAGAAGAGGTCTACTGCAGGATGTAAGTCTTCCCAGGGAACAAAGTGACCCAAGCTCAGCTGTTGCTCCCCACCCAGAATCTACACTCTGCACTGGAGCCCCTGCAGCAATCCCGCAGAACATTCCGACCCAGCCTTCGTCATTGTAATCTTATCAACAAGCGCCTGCTGCCACTCTTCCCCACAGAACATGGTGTTAGCTAAGCGGGTGGCTCCAGAGCCGCATACCCGACTATCTCCGAGGTTGGCAATATAAAGAGTGTTGTCTACAGCCAGAACACACGTGGCAGTGGACCCATCTTTCCAGGCAGGTTTCCTGGGGGGGAAAGACATCAGAAATACAGTCACCACCAACATGCTAGCACTTCGAAACTAATTTCCAGAGTTGAATGGGAAGTGGCGTAAACTTTAAAATGAAGAGTTTCCTTAATGCTTGCTTTTTTTGTTTCAGATTTAGTTAACAATTACAAGAACTTACTTGGTGCCAGGTACTTTTCAGACAGTGAGTGTTAGTATGAAACAGAATCAGAAGATCTGAAATGCATCCAGGAAAAGAAAACACACACACACACACACACACACACACTTCATTCATAGGTTTTCATGTGTTTTCACTTACTGGCTTGAAGCTTGTTTAAGAAACTCTTCATCAGTATGCTTAAAAGTGTCCAAAAGGCATCTCTTCACAGTTTTCTCCACACTGATTACATCTCCTATTACAGAAGGAACAAAAGAAAAACTCTTAAGGAGGAAAGGTTACCCTCCGCCCACTGTCATTCTGTTTCTGAACTACGACCAAGAACAATCTGCACGGCTGGTGTGGCTCAGTGGTTGAGCATTGAACTATGAACTAGGAGGTCATGGTTCAATTCCTGGTCAAGGCACATGCCTGGGTTGCAGGCTTGATCCCCAGCAGGGTGTGTGTAGGAAGCAGCCGATCAATGATTCTCTTTCATCAATTATGTTTCTATCTTTCCCCTACCCTTCCTCTCTCTGAAATCAATAAAAACTTTTTTTTTAAATAAAAACTATTTCCTCACCTACAGGACAGTACCACTTGCACTGGTGGTAGTAGACTCCCAAGTATAAAGGCAGGACACACACTTGTATCACAGACATTTCAGGAGAGGTGCCCATCACTCAGACATGAGGAGCTCTACAAGGCACACCAGCTCACCTCAGAGCCCACTCCTCACAGATTTGCTCTTTTACTTATTTATTATTTTTAAATATATTATTATTGATTTCAGAGAGAAAGGGGAGAAGGAGAGATAGAAATATCAACGATGAAAGAGAATCATTGCCTCCTGCACAGCCCCTACTGGGGCTTGAGCCCACAACCTGGGCATGTGCCTGACCAGGAATCGAACTATGACCTCCTGATTCATGGGTTGATACTCAATCACTGAGACACCTGGCTGGGCTCAGCTCCGCTCTTTTAATTGTCATGATTTTTGTAAAAGCCAAAACGACATCTCAGTGAGTCACACAAACAGCAAACACCAAGATGAACATGAACTGATTTATTTCTATCTCACCTTTAGGAAATTTCCTGATTAAGTTCTGATGTAAATTCTGTGCAGCAAATTTTGAGGCTCGAATTCCTCCATGTCCATCAAAAACAGCAAAATAGGAAACCCGGGTACTAGGAGAATGATTGAGAGTCAATGAGATTCTCACAGCAAACATTATTCCTCTCTATTAAAGCTTTCCCACCTTATTTCAAACAATGAAATTTGACACAACAGAGGAAGTCCCACCGGTAAGACACCAGTCACACTGTCATGAATGGAAAACAGGTAATGACACTGAGACAAATGTGTAAGTAAATTTCATAGTATTTCAAAATTAAACATGTTTTAAAAATCAAGGTCTATTAACTCTGATTTTTCACTGAAGGTGAAACTAAAATTCAGGATTTTTTCTATTTAAACTAGATTTGGTTTTAAACACCAAGACACAGATAAACAGTTACTGACCAAAAATCAAAAATATCTGTAAGGGCAGGGGGCAGGGTTGTTACTCAAACTTGGACAGATATCTAAATCTTAAAGCCTACCTCACCAGACTTATTCCTATCCCCCTCTCAAGTTTTGCCAGAAAACTCACATATATATGGAATAAATGGCATTTATAAAGGGTTTCAAGAAAAAAATAAAATCCTTATGAGAAAGAACATTTTTACTGTGGAGCTGCTTTTTCCAAACATTTTTGCAATATCTTTTCATTTGGGACATCATGAGACATAGGAAAAATAAACTCAGAACTCAAAACTGCTATCTTGCAGCATGGTATCTACCAGGTATGGGTTAGTGTTCCCCACCAAAGGGTTTGCCCCCACCGAGGGCTCCTTAGAAGTACCTATCCTGGCTTTAAAAGCAACTCCAAAGTACACTCCTGATCCTGGTGAGCATGAGTGCATGCATATATACACAGATGACCTTATAGGCCATCACCTCCTCATCTACTGGACAAAAGCCACTAGCACCAATGGCTCCAGCACACTGTATGTTAACAACCAACTGGTGTCAGTTAATGAATGTATCGTATATGTTATGTAATTATGGAAATTAGGTGATATATATATAATTATTTTATATGTAAACATGTAAGTTAATGACCACCTCCACATCCCACCTTTGGGTTGCTTTTCCACCACACCCAAGACCTTATCCAGAAGGCTTCATTGAGTTTGTGCAGGTTTGGTAATTCCTGTTTTTCTTCTCCTGATGCCATTCCTGTATCTGGTTCTCTTTCTGTGCCCTCACTAGCTGCACTAGCTCTCCTTCACTGCTATGTTCAGTGGTTTCCAGCTCTAGCTTCTGGGTCCCAGAACAAGAAAACTCCCTGCAAGCAGCTCTTCAGATTGTGGGGAAGGGAACACACCCTGAAGGCCCCCAATGTGGAGCCATTTCCCATTTATCAGGTTTCTCGATTTCAGCATGACTGACATTTGGAGCTGCACGATTCTTTGTTGTGGTGCGACCTTGGGAGTTGTAGGATTTAGCAGCATCCTGAGCCTCCCCACCAGATGCCAGTAGCACAACCTTCCACTGTGACAACAAAAAATACCAAAGGGAGGGGGGCTAAAATCAACTGCGGTGAGAACTACCACTGTTGAACCAAGCAGCTCAAGTGTTATGTGTCAATCTTTCTAATAAATACAAAGTGGACAAAGTCCAAAACTGAAATCAGAGCTTGGTCCAGAGACTTTTAGGCCCACCAGGCTTGCCAGAGCAGGGACACTCACATGAGGGATGATAGGGGCCTACACTCCTCCGTGATGTCATTCAGGATGACATGGGCATCCTGCATCTCCTCCCGCTCGCCCTTCCGCTCAGCCACGTAGCCTTTCAAACCAAAAATCACTGAAGAGGCTAAGGAAAAGAGAACAAAAAGCCAATACAAAACTGTGCCCTGCCCTCCAGAAGCCCTAGTCCCAGAGCAAACAAGAGGGAACTCTGGCTATTTTACTCGGCAGTCTTAACAGGCAAACAAGCTCTTCTCCTCAAGGCATCTCCCCACTACAAGTCTGTAACTGAAATCAGACCACTGATGGTCAGGGCTGGTCTCTGCAAGGCTAAACAGTGGAGAGGAGACAGGCAGATGACAGCAAGTTAGTACAAGACAACTCCGTCTAAGGCATTAAAGCAAAATACCAGAGTTAAGAAATGTACTATCATTTGAATGGGGGGAGAAGGGGTTCCAGTAAATCTAATCTGGTCAATAATTTAATGAGGACAGAAAAATTCCTACTCTAGAGAAATGCAAGTAGAGTTTATCCCAAAGGTCCTGCTGGACATATGAAAATATGTTATTTTCATGCCTGAGGCTTAGTGAAGAATTTGAACAACTGGTAAGATCAGCTGCTTTTACTCTAATTGAGGGAGAAAAAGATAAAGGGGAGGCACAGATACCTCCTTCTATTGAAAAGCCTGGCTAGCTTAAGCTCACCTTTTGACCCCTAGGGCCATGCAAATGAAGTGGGCACTTTCTGAAGAGCAGCTGTGGGTGGGCAGAGCTCTTTAGGCTAGGGTGCTGAAAGCTCAGCTGAAGACCAGCAGAGCAAAGTAGGTCCTCTCACATACCTCCAAGTGCACCCTGCAGCTTTGAGGTGCTTTATGGTAAAAAAAAACAAAACACAAAACCAAAGGGGTTGGGACAGTGAATGAATCTACAACTATTTATCTTTAATAGATACTTTTCATTTCCCTTACTCTGTGACAAATTACAAAGCTGACTATAAATTTCAATTGCTTTCCCCAGCCTTGGGCTCTTTCTAGGGAAGCTGCCTACTGAGTTAACCATAGAATCAAAAGGCTAATCATCAGGCTGTAACAAAGACAGGGAATTTGAGAGAAATGGATGGTCTGCAGGCTACCTGATCACAATCATCAGGCTGTAACAAAGACAGGGAATCTGAGAGAAATGGATGGTCTGCAGGCTACCTGATCACTAGAAAGGGTTAAGTGAAAACTCTGTGTTGTTTAAGCCTAGGAACAACTGTAGGTTTACTACCTGACCCAAGGTAGGGTCAGAGGCAGAGATGTCCATGGAAAGTAGAGAGAGAGAAGGCAGGAGTAAACTTCAGAAGTCTGTCTGCAAAAAGGGAGCCCTACCCAATTCTTAAATACAGACACAGAGAGGAAGCAGTATCATCAAAAAGCTGAGCTCTGGGTTGTTTTAAATTATGAAGTCTAATACATTTGTTTTCAAACTGTCTGAAAACCTTTACAAACTTTCTTTTCCACAAGCTCTTCACTGCCATTCTCCTCTTCTTCAGAGGGTTTTCTCTTTGCTCCTTTCCCTTCATTCTTTACCATCTGGGATATGGAGGTGTCAAGAGAACCTGAAAATAAAGTAAAAGCCAGACAGAAACAGCTGTAGACTTACAAAAAGACCCCTGCAGATCAGGCTCCATCCCAGCCCTCAAAGATAAAGTGTCATGTTCAGCAGTCATAGCTCTGAATCCAAGGGCCAGGCCAGTGTGCCTGGGCACCCACAGTGGGAGACCACACCAACCATGACAGGATCTGCAAGAGAGGCTTCTCAGTGGTAAAAAGAGACATCTGTACTCGGGCTGTAGCACATGCATGGTGTTGTATATCCACAGGCCCTTATTTACAATTAGGGAAGTTTCCAAAATCTGCAGTGACACATACTAAACAAGTTTAAAAAAAAAAACAAGTACCAAAAAAGGCTTAAAATGAGATAAAAGTCAGGCTTTAAGAACAGCTGCTGAAGCTATTCCTGGTGACAGAGGGATGAATCTGTGTTCAAAGCCAAAGCTAAGAGCACCTGCAAGGCGCGAGCGTGGTGGTGGGTGTTTAGAAAGGTCTAACTTCAAATTCTGGTTCTGCCACTCACAAGAGGGTTGCTCTTAAGGCAAGTTACTTAGCTTTCTTGGGAAGAATATGGTAAACTCAGAGGGTTGTTTGAAAACTGATGGACAAGTTATGTAAAGCATTTATCACAGTGCTTCGTCGATCAAGTATCCAACAAATGGTAGCTGCTGTCATGATAAATGGCCCTAAGTATTCTTTGCATTTAGCTATAAAAGCATGCAACTATTTATCAACTACTCTTTGCCAGGCATTTCTGAGTAATGAGGAAAAAGGAAGATGTCTGCATTTTATAATCTGTCCTTTTGCAAGTAATTGACTCTTCTTTCATACAACAGTATAACACAGCACACATACCCCACCCCATATAATATGGCAAATTAACAAAATTTCCTGGATGTTTCCAACAGAATCTCCCAATGGTCTCTTCATTAACCTCCTGTCACTTACTGTTTGTGTTCCCTTTTCCCAATGTGTATGTAAAAGAACCTTCCTTGCTTTTAAATTGGAAAACAGAACATTTTAAAGCTTTGTTTTTGACTTCTAAAAGAATCACACTGAAATCAGAGAATGCGGTCTATCTTCGTTGGGATTTTAATTTATGTCCTAGAATGTAGTCAATTTTTGTAAATGTTTCTTGCCTGCTTGAGAAGACTATCTTTTCAAGAAATCCAAAATAGCCCGCCAGTGTGGCTTAGTGGTTGAGTGTCAACCTATGAACCAGGAGGTCATGGTTCAATTCCCAGTCAGGGCACATGCCCAGGTTGTGGGATCAATCCCCAGTGTGGGGTATGCAGGAGGTAGCCGATCAATCAATGATTCTCTCATCGCTGATGTGCCTATATCTCTCTCCCTGTCCTTTCCTTTCTGAAATAAAAATATATATTAAAAAAAAAAATCCAAAATACTGGATGCAAGATTGGATTCTATATCTAAAATACCTCAATCTTGTTAAGAGTAATGTTGAAATCTTCTAAGTTGTTAACAATTTACTGTCTTTTGCCCTATGGACAACTAAGCCACAACTATGCTGAATCTTCCTTAGTTTTATTAAATCTGTTAGGAGCCCTGCTTGCACACAACATTCATTATAACTAAAATCACGATCTTTATTGGGAAGATCTTTATTAGGCTAAATTGTATGAGTATGCTATAATTTTTTAGTATAGGTATGTAAGATGACTGTAATACTTTTTCTAAATACAGAAACTATAATAATTTAATCCATATTTTCTAGACTAATTCCAACGACTTTATGGTAATGAATTAATAATACAAAAAAGAAGTGCACTTGGCCTCCAGGGAGCACACTTATGCCATTCCCTTTCTCTCCTCCACCGCGCCCCCCAGCATGTGGTCCCAGGCTAACCCCCTGAATGTCTCCAAGTCTCCCTCCCCCCCCCCTTTCCCCTGACTTTCCAGTGAGCCAAAGCAGCCTAGCCCAGGCTCTCCTGTTGCTTCTTCTAGGCCAGTGGTTCTCAACCTGTGGGTCGCGACCCCTTTGGCAGTTGAACGACCCTTTCACAGGGGTCGCATAAGACCATCCTGCATATCAGATATTTACATTACGATTCATAACAGTAGCAACATTACAGTTATGAAGTAGCAACGAAAATAATTTTATGGTTGGGTCACAACATAAGGAACTGTATTTAAAGGGCCAGAAGGTTGAGAACCACTGTTCTAGGCCCTTCTTTGTTTCACTGCCCTAAAGTATGTTTTTGCTGCAGTTAATAAATTCTTATTTGCTTTTCTACAAACAAACAAACAAACAAAAACCCAACAACAAACAAAAAAAACAAGAGAGATTTGAAAAGCAAGTGTTCTATTTGACAACAGACAAGATCTTCTTACCAGAAGACAATTGCATTTGAAAAAAACTGCATCCCCAACTGTTCCCAGGCCACTATACCTTCCCTTCCCCAGGGGAATTCCATGTCAGTTCTCAGTGAGACAGAGTAATAGATTCCTCATTATGATAACCTAGACTCTCTAGGTCAGTCAGTTATGGCGAACCTTTTGAGCTCGGCATGTCAGCATTTTGAAAAACCCTAACTTAACTCTGGTGCCGTGTCACATATAGAAATTTTTTGGTATTTGCAACCATAGTAAAACAAAGATTTATATTTTTGATATTTATTTTATATGATTAAATGCCATTTAACAAAGAAAAATCAACCAAAAAAATGAGTTTGCGTGTCACCTCTGACATGCGTGTCGTGTCATAGGTTCGCCATCACTGCTCTAGGTCCTACAGCAGTGGTTCTCAACCTTCGTAATACCGCGACCCTTTAATACAGTTCTTCATGTTGTGGTGACCCCCAACCATAAAATCATTTTCGTTGCTACTTCATAACTGTAATTTTGCTACTGTTATGAATCGTAATGTAAATATCTGATATGCAGGATGTATTTTCATTGTTACAAATTGAACATAATTAAAGCACAGTGATTAATCACAAAAACAATATGTAATTATATATGTGTTTTCCGACGGTCTTAGGCAACCCCTTTGAAAGGGTGGTTCAACTGCCAAAGGGGTCGCGACCCACATGTTGAGAACCGCTGTCCTAGAGGAATCCACTCTATTCTTACCTCCTAAATTGGAACAGGAAAAGAAGTTAAACATTTACAGAACAGGTAGAGCCAATGTTAATAGGCTTGACGAAAATAAAATTAAATCAATAAACAGAATCTCAAAAACATATGAATTGACTGGAAAATAACTAACTTAGGTCTTGAATTTCAAGACAATTCCTGCACAGGGTCTGTACCAAACACTAAACCAATGTCATTCAGACCTCATTTTTTTCTTCTTCTTCTTTTAAAAAATATACTTTTATTGACTTCAGCAAGAAAGGGAGAGGGAGAGAGAGAAACTTCAATGATGAGAATCACTGATCGGCAGCCTCTTGCACACCCCACAATGGGGGTCGAGCCCACAACCCATCATGTGCCCTGACCAGGAATTGAACCGTGACCTCCTGGTTCATAGGTCAAAGCTCAACCACTGAGTCATGCCCGTGGGCCAGACCTCATTTTCTTAAATCAAAATTCTTTTTAGTATAAGTGGCAGAAAAGAGAAGACCTACGTATCAGTATTTATAGGTTCAGGGACACTAAACACACACACACACACACACACACACACACACACACACACATTTCAGAGAGGAAGGAAGAGGGAGAGATAGAAACATCAATGATGAGAGAGAATCACTGATTGCCTCTTGCACGCCCCACACTGGGGATTGAGACTGCAACCAGGGCATGTTACCTTACTGGGAATCCAACCGTGACCTCCTGGTTCATAGGTTGACGCTCAACCACTGAGCCAAGCCGGCCGGTGACACTAAATATTTTAACTCTATTTCATATATTCAGATACTTCCGCTGGATACATTTGGGTCAGGAACATAAGGCAAACCAGAATGACAGAGATTTTTTTAATTAAAAAACATTAATAACGAAGTGGAAAGTAAATTACTAAACTCTTAATTCTTAGTCAGCTGTAAGAGGCTGAACCCCAAGGAAGAAAAAAAAAAAATCACCAAAAAATGACGTTATATCTACCTAATCTTTTTCCTTCCATCTGATGATGCCTACTTGCGTTTAATAAATCTATGCTATAGTATAATTTAATGTCATCCTAAACCTTAAGAGCTATAAATAAATTTCACAAAAGAGTAAAATAAGTATTATTTCCACTAGCACATTGGATTTTTCCCTACTACTTACCTGACTCGCCACTGCTGGCTGGTGGGAGGTCATCAAAAAGCAAAGGTCCGCCTGGTCCTGAAACACAGCAGGACATTCATTGAGCCCACAAAATCTGGGTAAGGCATAAGTGTCAGAATCCATCCCACCAGGACGCCTATGCAGGTCACTGACATAAACTCAAAACTGTGTCAATCCAGTGGCAATTCACACTGCGGTAAATAATGTCTTTTAAAGTCCTATCATTGAAAGGAAACAAAAACCTGCCTTACAGAGTTACATCATATTTCAGCTATAATATACTCAAATGAACCAGAGAAAACTGCTCAACATTTCACGCAGTTTCTCAGAGCTAGCAACTAGTGGATTTTTCTGCCTTACCTGATGCCATGGATTCAAAACTTAAGACAGTCCAACACCTAAAACATCTGTGTGTTGAAAATGGGGGAAAGGGAAAAAGATTGAGACAACTACAATCCCAGGATGACACGTTGACACACACCTGGGAGAGCCTGAAGACTGTACCTGAGTCAGTACTGCTGGCCGGAGGGAGGTCGTCAAAGAGCAGAGATCCTTTCTGAGCTTCTTTCCCTAGGACACGGAACACCTGCTTAGACTGCGCTTGGGCATCAGCCAGGATGGCTTTTCAAAGGGGGAGACTTTGACATACGTTTGCTGTTAAGGTCAAATTTTCTCCTCCCGTGGGAAAAAATTTATTTTTAAAATATTTTCTTCACTGCTATTTAATATGGACACTTGTTTCCAACAGTTACAATCAACAACAAAAAAGCAATAAAAATGACCCAACAGGCATTGTAAGGGCCAATGGGTATTTTGAGAAAAACATTCTTCTTGATACCATAATTTCATTACTGAAAGCAACCATTAAAAACAAAACAAAACATTTTTATTGATTTCAGAGAGGAAGGGAAGAGGGAGAGAGACAGAAACAGCAATGATGAAAGAGAATCACAGATCAGGTGCCTCCTGCATGCCTCCTCCTGGGGGGTCAGGCCAGCAACCCGGGCATGTGCCCTGACTGGGAATTGAACCATGACTTCCTAGTTCAGTGATGGTGAACCTATGACACACGTGTCAGAGGTGACGTGCGAACTCATTTTTTGGGTTGATTTTTCTTTGTTAAATGGCATTTAATCATATAAAATAAATATCAAAAATATAAATCTTTGTTTTACTATGGTTGCAAATATCAAAAAATTTCTATATGTGACATGGCACCAGAGTTAAGTTAGGGTTTTTCAAAATGCTGACATGCCAAATTCAAAAGGTTCGCCATCACTGTCCTAGTTCATAGGTCGATGCTCAACCACTGAGCCACACCAGTTGGGCCAGTAATCAACATTTAAAAATAAAAATTTTTAAATGAATCCTGGGAAGACAAAAACTGATTTTAGAGTAAGAAAATAATGTATGCCTCAAGGTATAAATTCAGTGCCTAGTAGATTTGTCTCAGTGAATAAAGTGCCAGCCTGCGGTCCGAAGGGTCCCAGGTTCGATTATGGTCAAGGGAACGTACCTTGGTTGCAGGCTCCTCCCCTGCCTGGGCCCTGGTCAGGGCTCGTGCAGGAGGCAACCAATCAGTGTGTTTCTCTCTCTTTTCCTCTCTCTAAAAATCAATGGAAAAATATCTTCAGGCGAGGATTACCAACCACCCCATTCCCCCAAAAAAGATATAAATTCGGCGATAGAGGGATTCTCCAAAGATCTATAGATCTTAAAAATTCCCATTTCAATAACATTCTGAATTAACCACAAAGTAAAATCTCAAAGCACAGAAATAAGAGGCTGAGGGAACCCCATACCTTAACTTGGTGCCTCCAGCCCAGTATCCAATTCAATACAAATCCATGGAAAAGATAAGGAATTTCAGAAACTCCAAGATAAACGCAGGAGAGAGCCAGGCACATTTTTAAATTTAAAAATCTGAATGATAACACAACAGAGTACTTGTCTTTAATGTTTTATACTCAATTTTCCCTTTCCACACAAAATTTAATTACAATTCCTTCTTCTCCAGCTTCCCCACCAAATCTCTATTTATGCTATTAAATACATGAATTGGCACCCACAGGGCTCAAAATGAAGGTGCGCACATCCCATGAAGTTCCACATACTGTCTCAAGACAGGCTCTGTCCCATCTCCTATTCCTTGGAGTTCAAGGACAGAAATGTGCTCACTGAATATCCAAAGCATCCATACTGTCTTTTTGCTTCTATATAGATATGAACTGGGTACCAATTCTATTCTTTTAAAAACAAAAACTTTAATTAAAATTTACAAACTCCAAGGAAGGAAATTTCTTCAGGAGTCTTTAGGTCAGAAATACCTTAAATACCTGATAAATTCCTGATTTAATAAAAAATAACTCTTCTGCCCTAACTGGTTTGGCTCAGTGGATAGAGCATCGGCCTGCGGACTCAAAGGTCCTAGGTTCGATTCCGGTCAAGGGCATGTACCTTGGTTGCGGGCACATCCCCAGTAAGGAGCATGCAGGAGGCAGCTAATTGATGTTTCTCTCTCATCAATGTTTCTAACTCTCTATCCCTCTCCCTTCCTCCCTGGAAAAAATCAACAAAATATATTTTTAAAAAATTAAAAAACAAAAAACTCTTCTGCTTTATACATCTAACTCAAATGGAAAATAACTACTAAGCCCTGGCCGGTTTGGCTCAATGGATAGAGCATCAGCCTGCGGACTCAAGGGTCCCAGGTTCAATTCCGGTCAAGGGCATGTACCTTGGTTGCGGGCACATCCTCAGTAGGGAGTGTGCAGGAGGCAGCTGATCGATGTCTCTCTCTCATTGATGTTTCTAACTCTCTATCCCAAAAAAAGAAAATAACTACTAATTAAAGTATATCCTAATTCCTCAGTATTACCCTTAACATATTAAGTAGTTGCAAATACTTTCATTTTTCTCACAAGCAACATAAAGACTCTGGGAAGAATTCAAAAGCAGCATTAGAAGGCCATTAAAAGGCATTCAGCGTAACTGCTTACTCACGAGGAATACAGGAGAAGGCCAACCTGAAGAACAGCCAAGCCTTCCACCTGTGTCAGGTCACATATTAAGCTCTGAATTAAACTTCTCAGCTAAATCAGGTCGTTTCACTGTCTGTGTCCAGTGCAGGAAGTCCTCTTTTACCCAGGTAACACATTTTCAGTCTTGCAAGAATTAATTCCTCACAAGAGTTTCCAGCTTGAGAATTAGCCTGACCCCTCTTCTTCGGTTACAACAGTTTTCAATATGTGTGCTGCAAGAATTTTTAAAACATGCAATACCTGACTACTAGTCAGAGGCACTGATCTCTTTTTCCTTAGATTGTCAAATAAAAAAATGACAGTCAACACAATAGTTGTCTGATGTGAATGAATCAAAATTATACCTATTTTTGGTTCAGATTGGCAAAAAAACATTTTGGCATGCCGCAGAATTTTGGTAATAAGTTTATGTGTGCCATTACATGAAAAGGGTTGAAATCGCTGGACTAAGATAGTGTCCCAAACTGGGCATCACCCCAAAGACGGCCTATCTCCTACTGCTGAATGGAATGAGCCTCTCCTTTCCCCATCTTTCTCACTCTGGAATACGGAGTGATATTTCCATTAAAAACATGAGATTACCTCACATTTTTGTTGGCCACACTGAGAATAACTTATAAAAATGATAATTAACATTTACTGCCTTCCAGGCAACTGTTGTAGTGCTCTCCATATTTTAATACATTTAATTCCTGTAATACTCTTAGATACTATTGTTACCTACTGATGGTGAGACTGAGGCACTTAAAGATAAATACCTGCCCAAAAGAGCCAGTGATGAGTAAGGACTCAAAGCCAGGCACCCCCGTTTTCCCAATCCATGCACTCAGTAAGGTGCTACATTATCTCTACACATATGCACTGTTCCAGGAACTACTGCAAGTTAAAGGACCATCTCATTTAACCTTACAACAATCCCATAAAAATAATCCCAAGGCTCTGAAAGATCACTGGAATATCTTCTGCATAAATAAAAGGATCAAACTTAGTAATACCTTGCATCTGGATTCTATAAATCAATCAATCAATCAATCAATCCGTACATCTTAGATGCTAAAGGTTGCTATCCTATATAATAATCCCATATAATAAAAGGCTAATATGCAAATAAACGGAACGGTGAAACAACCGGAACAATCGGTCGCTATGCTGTGCGCTGAACACAAGCGGGCATGTGTGGAACATGGCGGGTGTTGGCCACAGTGGGATGGTGGAGCAGGTGAGTGGGGGCGCCAGACCAAGGTGGGGGACTACTGGTCACTGTCATTGGGGTGAGCCTTTGGTGGTTACTGAAAATTCTCTGCTCCTGCGCCACAGTCCTGCCTGGTGCTCGCACCTGCTGCCGGCCCCACTCATACCCACTGCCGGTCCCGATCACTCGGCACCATCATCGGGTGCGAGCAGCAGCTACTGGCCCTGATCGCCCCTGAAGGCTTCTCCACCTTCCCGTTCTTGAGGGGCAATCAGGGCAGCAGCCGTGGCTTGCACCCGCTGACAGCGCTGGCCCCGCTCGTGCCCGCTGCTGGTGCCGGCCCCAATTGCTCTGTGCTGTCAGCAGGTGCGAGTGGGACCAGTGCCGTCAGTGTGTGGGAGTGTCAGTGTGTGGGAGCGTCAGTGTGTGGGAGCAGCGGGAGCGGGGCTGCCAGCAGACAGGGGACCAGGAGCCATGGCAGGAGGGGCCGGGCGGGGCACGGAGGATGGGCCAAGACCCGCCCCTGTGCCTACTGCAGCCTTGTGGCCCACAGTTCCTTTCAATGTGCACGAATTTGTGCACTGGGCCCCTATTGTACAATAAAAAGATTAGTTTGCCTAACCAGTTTTTAAAAATATATATTTTTATTGATTTTTTACAGAGAGGAAGGGAAAGGGATAGAGAGTTAGAAACATCGATGAGAGACATCAATCAGCTGCCTCCTGCACACGCCCCAATGGGGATGTGCCCGCAACCAAGGTACATGACCTTGACCGGAATCGAACCTGGGACCCTTGAGTCCGCAGGCCGACGCTCTTATCCACTGAGCCAAACCAGTTAGGGCCTAACCAGTTTTTTATGCCTGAATTTTCTCTTCAACTACAAATGCAAAACATATTTTCCAAACACAAGGTATTAGAAAAAGGCCCCACCTCTCCACCACACTCCTGGACCACAGTAACAGTTGAGTGTATAAGTTCCATTTTCCTTTATGCTCATGTACTTGAGTATGTTGAGCAAAGGACATCCTGGACATCACTCATTCACAGGGTCACCAGAAGTCGGAGCCAACTCAAGGGCATTTTAACACCCAGCACCCACACTTGTGTATGTGCATTTTAATTTTTAAAAGGTAGAAGTATTCTGTACAAAATATTCTATGTTGCTTTGTTCACGTAAGCCATCAGGGCATGGTCCAGGCCAGCACACCTGGGTCAGTCATTCTTTCCAATAGCTTCATACTATTCTATAGGGGAAGTAGTGCCCATCACTTGTCAAATTCCCTTACTGACAGGCATGCAAGCTGATTCTGTTTTGGTTTTTTTTATATGACAAAC